TCAGGTCAAAATTAAGAAGGGGGGGTTATATTTCACTTTAGTAAGCTTCCTCGGACCCGGTGTAAATAAGTTCCGGTAATGGGTTATCGTTCTTTTCATCGAATCCTAGCGGTAGTTGAAAGGCCTACTATGTCATTTTTAGTGGAGTCAATTTGAAAAAAAAAGTAATCAGTCTTATAAACCCGGCAAAATGACTGAACATGCAAAACGCTATCTTTAAACAGTGGTATCGCAGTCATTGTAACATCAACTTAATTGTCAGTAGTTTGTCTTGGTTTAAAAATATAAAAGGTAAATATAACAAGCAATGATCGATCTTTATATAAATCCATAAACAATACATACATGTACAGTAAAACTCGTTTATAACAGTCACAGGGACCAATGAAATAACTTCGCTGTATACGTAATTCGTTATATCCGTATAAGAAATTAGTTTAAATTTAGACTGCTGGGGATCCAAGATAACTTCGCTATATCAATGATTTGGCAATATCCGTGTTCGTAGTAAACGAGTTTTGCTGTATATGTGAAGAGGGCAGTATACACGGATTTGTGATTGCATTCAGAGCATGCTTTTGCAAACTGACTCAGATGGAAGGTTAATAAACATATTTAGATCTTTATTGATCTTTATTGTATATCTGTAGTGAGATCGATTGAACATGAAATAAAGAAGCATGATAAAAGATTTAAGCCACAATGAAAATGATTCACTCAGACGTAAGCGATTATCCACTATGCTGGCTCAGACGGAAATTAATTAAAATGGAATATATAGCTACATATACGTTTACTGAAAGCCACCATCTGATATTCTAATATATCTCTATAAACCTTTGAATTTATGCAGAGGGGCAAAAAAATATATTAAAAAGATTACACTTTTCAATTGTTTGATTTTAATCCTGATGCGGGGTTTGTATTACTTCGTTTCCCTGATCAATGTACAGGGCTCACGTCGCATGTGACCGGAATACTGGTATTATGCGACAGCCGGTCTACATGTCGTACCTGGTTACACCGGTCTATAGGCGGTACCTAGTTACACCGGTCTACAGGCGGTTCCTGGTTACACCGGTCTACAGGCGGTACCTGATTACACCGGTCTACAGGTGGAACCTGGGTTCACTCGTCTACAGCCGGTACCTGATTACACCGGTCTACAGGCGGTACCTGGTTACACCCTTGGTCTCTTCAACGGTTCCTTGTGTTTTCTTTTCGTCCACAATTCATTGTGTTTACATTATACTAAATTTACAAGAACAAGCACTGGTCGTTATCTTCACCTTATTATTTGCAAGACATGAATATTTTCAAAGAAAGGTTTTTGAAAAGTTGAAAAGCAGAGCTATTTGTTATTCGTTGTATATATTTTTTTTATGCCGTCGTTAACGAAGTTTCGGGGGTATATAGTTTTTGTTGTGTCCGTCCGTCCGTCTGTCTGTCTGTCTGTCTGTCTAGCTTTTTGTCTGTTCGTTTGTGCACAAAAACTTTAATCTTGCTTTTGATTTAGTGGAGCTATGACTTTCATATTTCACAGGTGTATATTCTTTGTGACAAGACATTTCTTTGGGTACCACCAAATTTGACCTTTTGACCTTGACCTTGACACACTTTTACATCAAAATTCCAAACTTTTACTTTGCCCATAACTTTTGAACAGTTAGAGCTAAGGCTTTCATACTTCAGATATGGATTCTTTGAGACAAGACCTTTCATTGGATACCAACAATTTTGACCCTTTGACCTTGACCTTGGAGACTGAACTATGTTTTAAAAACCTTAACCTTGGCAATTACTTTTGAAAGGTTAGGACAAGGACTTTCATACTTCCCATATGTAATTTTTTTTGACAAGGCCTTTCTTTAGAAACCAACAACCTTGACCCTTAAACCTTGACCCCGATTTTTGACCTACCTTTAAAAATGTTAACCTTGGTCATAACTTTTGAACAGGTTGTGCTAGGGTTTTATAATTCACATTTGTATTTCTTGTGAGAAGGCTTTTTTAGGAACCATCATGTTTGATCTGCATTTGAGAAAGTATAACCTTCACTATGTTGCCATACGGGGGCATCAGTGTTTCACAAACACATCTTATTATCAAGTTATCAACTCAGGCACATATTTCGGTTTTCGCCCTGTTAGAGTGACATGTATCTAGACAGTATTATCTCTAGCTGTTTGATTTGATTTTGATCCTCTGTTCAATTGCTAGTAAAGGAATTGATTCTTCGAAATAAAAATTTCATCCCGATGCATACTTAGGAATTCTCTATGTACATTAACCACGTCTTATAGGCAGAGTTCTCGCCTTGAATAATTCATTTGACGAATTAGAAATGCTTTGCAAGTTAACATAATATGCACAATTGTTGCTCTGCAAGTTAATGTCATTGGAAAATACTGAGAGAATAGCTTGTATTTTTCTTAGTAAGACATATCTTGGATGCTAATTTTTTTTTTTAGATGAGGGTATCGAGGGGTTGGTTTCCTTCGGATCTGATTCGAATTTACAACATTTAATAAAAATTAACCATTTCAGTATTCCAGTAAATTAAGAGATAAAAAAAAAACAAAAAACATAATTCGATTTTTTTTGTTTCTCTGTTCAAAAAAAATACTTTTCTAACACAAATTCAGTATTATCGAGTTTGTTTAAGAAATAGAGTTGTGGCAACACTATTTAAGTTCTTAACGATTGAAATGTGTGCGCTAGTCATTCACTTTTTTTCATTTTTGACTGAAATTTTAACTTTTTAAAACATTCTTTGACAAAGATATATGTTAGCTATGTTGCAAAGAAAAAAATTGTCAGTATTCTTATAGTTTACAAAGACATGGTTGAAAACAAATTTATAAACAAATCAATTAGTTCACAAGAATTTTTTTATGATTGTATTTTTTAAGAATCGAATAAGACGATCGAAAGATCCTAAACGTAAATTTCAATCACTGATCATAAATCTTCAAACAAAATAAAAGGCATCAGATATCGGTATACACGGAATTCTGATTTATCGGTCCGCCATTGACAGCAGACGTTCTCATCATGGCTTCCCGCCTCCTGGAAGATCTCCGGGACCAATTAAAAGTTACAGAGCTTCGTACTCTTGGGTCAATTAACCTGTCACATTCTGTTTTGCATCAGACCAAATTGGAATAATCTGTCAAATGTGCAAATCTATAGAGAATCTCTCCAATTGGAGGCATATGTTATAACAGTATTATTTGCTTCCTTCAGTATCCATTTGATTTAAATCATGTTATGTACGTAATTTGAGTTGCAGAATTAAAATCAATTTCAGATTCATCAAAAATGTAGGGAACTTCAATTTGAAGAAGACCGGTTAGTAACTCGCACTGCTTATGGGACCTGTTTTGAGGTCTGAGAAGAATTTCATAAATAAATGTTGCTTTCACAATATTGAAAAATATGCAAATTATGAAACCTTTGATTGTGACATAGTTTATTTCTTTAAGCTTTGGTTCAGGAGAGCAGAAAATATCGGAAATTTCAAAATAAAAGAAAACGTCAAGAATTCTTAACTTTGATGATTAAAATTAATTGTTTATTTTCCTTATATTCTTTTTAAGATGCAAAGATCATGTAACAAAACAAAAAGATAACGAAAACATCATGCTGATGTTTATTTTTCCACACTGATATTCACACATCATGATAATGCCTAATTATCAGGATTTTCTTAAATTTTTAAAAAGAAAAAAAGATATATCAGAAACAAAATAATGATTTAAAGATGACGGACTATTTTGCGTGTCATCTGTAAGAATCAGGTGTGAATCATTTATAGTAGAAATACCCATGAAATGTCAACTGAATTTTAACGCAGCTGTGCTAGCTTCAAGAAGTTATATACAGGAAAATGTTACACGTCTTTGTCCGCCATATTTGTCTTCTCATGAATGGTGTTTTCCAGCCGCTATATAAGCCTCAGCTTTGTTCGAGTTCAAAGTTCATTATGTAATATACGCAGCAGTGACCAGTTAAAAAACAGTCAGGTGTAACGAATACGGACTTATATACCCAAGTGCTGATATAGGAGTAGGAAAACTACTGTGGGGTATGCGTATTTACGAATTGTGTTCCTCTTTAAATCCCCTTTTTTACATACTCATAGTTACTCATTGCACAGTAACACTTTACATAATAAGAAGCACCTATAAAACAATAGCCATAGGGCTATATGTAACTATGAAAGTTGCAGAAGGTTAGAATTGCTTTTGCTCTCGGTAGTGTAACTGAACAAACAAACATTTATTTTAAAATTTTAATGAATCAGTAAGTAAATCTAATTGAAAAAACGACTAAAATGTTTGAACAAAAAAGTAAGCAAGGCTCCATACGAGGATCGAGCCAATCATTCCTCGATATCTGAGTGGTCTGTGCTGGAGACACATACACTATAAGCTATCGCTGCTTCTCAATGGATACTAGTACTTAATGAAAATTTAACTTTAAAATGTCGGAAATAAAAGTTACAAAATGTCGGTAATAAAAAAATGGATATTTTAAAAAATCACCGAATATGAAATGCAGCCGTATAAAGATTTTAAAACGATAATGAAGCACCGCATTATTTATCAAATCGTATTGTTGGGGGGGGGGGGGTGTTATGGCCTCTGGGTTTTTAAACAGTTATTTTGCTTTAATAAAAAATAAAATGCACAAAAATATGGTTATAAAAATCATGGGGAGATGAGACAAAAAAGCAAGTTTTTAGAAAAAAGAGGTTTTTTATATGAAAAATGTAACATTTTTTACCAAATGACTCATATACTAGTAATCCTTATTCCAAGTTTTGTTTTTAAAACAAATCAAAACATCTTTTGGCAAAATCTCTCTCATTCATAGTTAATAGGAACCTTATACATTAAAATAATGCAAAAATTTCATGTGATAGTGAACTCAAAAAAGATTTCCAGCTAAACCGCTCTTTTATAAACAAAAAATTAGAATTTTGATTTTTGGAATACTTAAAGCATCAATTTTAGAAAACAAAGAAGTAGAGGGAACCAGGATAGAATTAGTCCTGACGCTGTACTGGCATCAGACTCTGGGCTCAGAAAGTCCACTCCTCTTTGGTACTCATACGTGGAATAGAAGCAGGAGGCTGTGACTTTCTGATATTTTCCATCTGATTTCATACCAAATTGAAGACTACACGTGCTCTCTGCAACGTCACTCATCAGTTCATTGAAGGTCATGTGGAATTTTCCCACGCCATCAGACAAAAGGCTTAGGTTACCTATTCCTGCAGAATTCATTTGAAAGGATAGTTTCTGCGACTCCACCTCCCTTATTTTCATAGTCCCAAAGATTCGATGACCATAATCACCCGTAAACTGGTTCACATCCATTTCGGCTGGTTGAACTGGTTGTGTGTTGTTGTTTATAGGGGTGGCACCTGTGCTTTTCCAGGGGGCGGGGAAACTACAGATAGTGTTGTTGTCCAGCCATTGGCTCTCGCCGAGAAGAATGTCTGAGAGAACATAGGATACTGGCGCGATAGAATTCTTATAATTGATGTACCAGGGACCATTGATGGTTATCACAAATCCAGCATTCTGATCAGGGAAGAAACCAGCTACTGCGGAATATCCGTACCAGTTTCCAGGATGAAGCAGCTTTTTATAACCTAGAACAATATGAATATAATACAAGTACTAATTTGAGGGGGAAAATGCAAAAACGAATACCGTATATCTTCAATTGGAATTCTTGTAATTTGATTCATAATATTCACACAATAAACATTTATATGCCGAACAAAATGATAGTATCTTGCAAAAACCAATGTTGTTTATCTAAAATATTATATAGTGGATTTATATGCTTAGTTTAAAGATGCCTAATGCTTAACTGAAAACAAAAGAATGATATAGATAACAAAAAAAAAAAATTGCTCGAAAATCCAATTGAACAACACAAAGTTAGAGAAGAGCACACTTGAAACCCAACCCTAAAAACACAGAGGTTTAGGATCGGTAAACTTCATTATCCTCAGCTTCATTCATGACCGAATATACAAAGAAATTCCTGGATTTTTTTTTGGGGGGGGGACATAATGGCCTAACTTGTGTGAAAAACAACAGATTGTAGAAGCAAACGACATTATTGTATCTACCATCTAGAATTAGCAAATTATACCGTTGTTGATGCCTTTGTATCATCAACTTATTCCTCAGAAGCCGACATCGTTTTAGAAATTGTTTATATATATACAGAGCATACTTTTGTCCATCCATTCTCTGAAACACCAAATGCAAATCATTACAGTACATTGCTACATATACAAAGAAAGAGTCTGTAAGAAATTTTATCATAAAGTTTAGTTGTGATAAATTTTGCTTCCAATGTGTGTCTCTAGTAAAACATCCAAATATATATTAGTAAACAACAGATCTGTGAAACTGGGTACACTAGTCTTTCATTTTGAGTTCAATCTGGTATACTAGTAATTGTTGAATCGGTAAATATTGATAATTAATTTAAAAACATCGTAAATATACAAAACTCTCTAAATAAAGGCCACAGAAAGAAACTTCTTCCTTTCATGTCGAACTTTTTTTTTTTAATTTTTGAATAATCTTGAGAAGAATGAAAAACAGGTTCCTTAGTACGGGGTACGATTATTCCATGAGTATTCTATTAGATGTTTGGTAGAACAGGTATCTAAAGACTACATACTGTTGCATGTCAATATTTTCAAAAGGAACTCCAATACGGTTTTATTATCAACCTGAGTACGGTATTTGTACGAAGAATCAGATTGGATTTTTTTAGAGTAAATTTAAAGATGACCACTGACATGATGTAAAAACTGAAGAGTCCCATTTTTATTGAGTAACAACTTGTGTATGATGTCAAAAACACCTTACTTTACTTAAGAAATAAATAACAAGTTTATAAACTTCAATGGGAATTGAAGAGGGTCGGTCACGTGATCAAATCCTGTGAAGGCCGAAGGCCTTCTCAGAAGATTTGATCACGTACCGACCCACCTCAATTCCCATTGAAGTTTATAAATTTGTTATTTATTACTTATATATACATTTGAGACAGACAATTGAATATTTTCGAATTTAAATTATTGCACTAACCGTCCGTCGTAGATTTTGAAAAATGACGCAAGGTGTAAATCGGCTTGCATGGCGGTTACGCTTCAAATTCATTAGGCTAAGGAATCTATTTCGAAAGGAATATTTTGTGAAAGGCTAGTAGTGATCAGTAATAGTGAACAGATTGTTGTCTGGGAATATTTTTATTCGTGAAAAATGATAATCGATACTGAAAGACACAAGAAACACGTCCGAAGTTTGATGATAAAAAGTTGGAGGAATTTCGGTCGCTGGAAAGGGATGGATGGATCCGATGGACTGAGACACTTGTCCGAGCCAGTTAATTTGCAATTTGATCAAAAATATTCCACGGTTTCAGTAACTAAAGGCATACGATACTTATCGTAAAACACTGATAAACACGGAGACACTGGCGACAGCTTTATATTGAACTACGAAAACACCGAGGTGTTTGGCAGCTGTTCATTGCAAAGATATTTTCCAACAGATTTACACATTTATCGTGAGTAAAATTTAAAGATAAAATAAAAGTTTATCATGAAAATTTAACCAAAGGTCTATCCAAAAAATAAGGATGAACGTTAGAGACTGTGCAGCTGACAAAAGTGAAGAAAAATGTACAAACGCTAGGCTCCTAGTTTTCTCTATGTACACAGGTTGAATCGGTAGCCAAAAACTGTATGAAATACTTGTTTACATTTAAAATAAAATAATTATCATTTTACTTGCTTATTTTATTCATTTTTATACACGAAAAGCAAGTAGAGCAGGTCATTTTATAATTTATGTACCGGTAGATATTATTGCGCCGTGTGATTAGGTCACGTATTGACCTCTGACCTCTGACAAACTTCATACAGAATTGAAGATATTTTCTTTCTGTATGTTTATATAATGGAGAGATACCACAAATGTATATATTAGTATTTAATTCCGGGGGCGGGGTGTTATAAAAAGTAGTACGTTTTGATGCTATTGGTCTTGACATGAGTTGGTGTTCTCAAATTATCTTAATTCAAAGTTCTTTGGTATTTTTGATTCCCTATTTGATTAGCACCACTTCTCAAATATGCCGTTGATCATTCTGTATTCATAGATTTCATTTTGGGAAAAGCATTGTCTTTCTCCAGGATATGATGTTAGCAATATTTGTCATTACAGAGATTCATATCCATACCCTGGTACATTTACCAGATCCGCAAAAAAACCTCTGTACCACCATACAATCAATGTCAGATCCCAAAGATCCTACCTCCGTACCACCATTACATCAATGTCAGATCCCAAAGATCCTATCTCTGTACCATCATACAATCAATGTCAGATCCCAAAGATCCTATCTCTGTACCATCATACAATCAATGTCAGATCCCAAAGAACCTATCTCCACAATACCAGTTCCATGAAGTCTTACTTTTGTAGTTACTGTAAAATCAGTCATAACTATACTAGCCCCTGACCTGATGTAAGCTCTAACCGCCATACAATCCATAATCATACTATATCACCAAGAACATACCTCTGTCGGACTCACCATACCATCAGTAACCATAAAGTATGTGGAGATAACGAACAGTATTCGAACTGCAAAGTCCGTTAAACATTACACATTAGGAGTGGAGCAAACACGGACCTCCAAAATATCAGAGGTGGGATCAGGTGTTATGGAGGAGTGAGCATCTCCTGCCGAATGGTCACACCCGTCGTGTACTCCTTGTTATGATCGGGAAATAACGAAAAAAAAATCCGTGGACAACTCAAAATTAATGGCCTAACAACTAATATATGAAAAAGACAGTCAACATTTAACTTAATAAATTGTATTTGTTGTATCGACCATAAAACTTGCGAAATGATGACTTTAAACGAGACTGCTTATATTCTTGCTTCATCAACTTGTTTGTTAATAACTTACCTTTTAGAAATTGTTCATACGTAGAACATGCTCTGTTATACTGTCACGAAGACCTTACCACTGTATGATCCACCATAACATCCAAAATTTATACCAGATCCCGAAGACCCTACTTTTTATAGAGCCCGCTATACGAGTACTATCAATGCCAGGTTTCTTACACTTACCTCTGTAGGATCCACCATACCACCCATAACCATACCAAGTATCTGAGGCCTGAACAGGATAATCGTCATCCAGAAAGAATCGACCTATAGACCAATCATCTAGGTACATGTGAGGATTAATCATTTCTTTGAAGACGTCTGGATGAATTAATTGGTGTCCATCCACTGTCGATCCCCCCGCGGATATAAACTGGATCCATTTAGCCAGATCCTGTGGGGAAGCTGATACACACCCGGCTGGACCCACATCACCTATTCTGTTTTATAGTATTCAAGTAAAAACATACGACAATGATGTATATTTATGTTACGGAGAAATCAACAAAAAAGTTTTTAAAAATATTTTAACCCTTCATAAATTTAATTTTGTCAATTTACACTTTAGTTTATGGACCGTATTTATAGTTAACGATTTGTGAACTACCGTTTTTTTTTAATTCTCAAAACTGAATTTTTCAGTTGCATATACATCTACTCTAGACAAACTCTGCTGTCTGTAAATAATCGTAAATAATAGTGGTATTCTAAATTCTAATTTTAAGCTAAAAACATTGACATTGATTAACCACTGTTAGGAGTTAATACTGTAATCATAATTTGAAAAATCGTAAACCTATATGTTTCAGATAAAATTTGGTTAACTTTCGTTTATTTGAAGATTTTTAGTGGTAAACCCATAGATAGCTATATTTTATATGAGTTAAAGACAAATAATGACCAAAAAAAAAATAATTGTGAGGTTCACTTTTTAAGCGGTTAGCTTCGCTAGCCGCTTTATGGCATGTGTCGACACCGGAAACTTCCATAAGGCGCTACCTATCGACAACGGAAACTTCAACAAAGCCTCTTCCTAGTACTTATGATTTGTATGTAACACATATAACATATGTTAAATAAAATCAAGACTATCAAAACAACATAATCTTTTGGTTTTTAAATTTTTTTCTGATTTTGTTTGTCAATGAAATAAATTTATAATTGTTGCATTAAAAAAGTTTATGTATAGAAGCATTTGTGTCGAGATTAAATTTCCGTGACATCAGCTGATGCCGATCAGGCCCTGTGACGAAATTCGAAGTCAGCATGAAGTCAAGCTGATAACATTATCAACGCGTTAGATTTAAACTTTACGTAGAAATGTATAGCGAGAAATATATTTGAATCTACTGCTACAAGAAAACCAGTAGGCATTTCCGATTTATGTGTTAAATTGAAGCCTGAATCGAACAGGGGGTCAAACTGGCGTTGGACACCTTGTGTATTTATATATAGAGGGGGTAGAATGTTTCTATATTTGGCTAATTTAGAGACTTACTGATAAAAATTCAGGTGCCTGTGATTAATTATAAGGCACCCCTCATGAACAATAAATATTTGACCGAATTAAGCTACTGGGCACAGGGAGGACAGGTAAATGACTGGCTAAAGGGGTTGAAGGTTATTACCAACTGCAAAACATCGGAGAATCTTTCAATCGAGTTTCATTTTCCAAAATATTAAGGCATCATTTTAATTAACTTAAGTTATACTAGTACACGAAGAAAGCCTTTATATAAAAATACTGAAGTAAGATGTACAGTTATGGATTACTTCCATAATGAAACATTGTTTTCTTCTCTTTTTTTCTCAATTGAAATTATTTAAAGGATGATAAAAAAATTGTTTCCAGGGAAAAATTCATTTTAAAAAAAAGTGGGAATAGATAGAATGAACCCACCTGCTGACCCGCAATGACCCTACGAAACGTACTGAAGCTCTCTGAAATTACCGTAATTAATTCTCTGCTCGTCCATCCGTTTTTCTCAGACTAGCCAGCTAAAGATCTATGTACACTACTCCAAATCATTCATTCTAAAGAATCTGAATTATCATTTTATTTTTTTTTTAGTTGTTTGCTATAGAGCCTTTATAGTTACCTTTCAGAATCAATAAAGCATGAAAGCCAATTAAAATTGGCAACATCAACATAATTTTTTTTTTCGTTCTGAGCACTTTTGGACGCCACCAATGGAGACAATTAGGGAGAAATTTATGAAATTGAACTTAATACCTGTTTTTCAAACTGAAAATCGCAGGTTGATATTTTGAAACAAACATTTGTGACATCAGTCTGGGATGTTATTGGTTATACCATTTAATTAAGTACTACAAAATTCATTGTGTCTGCTTCTTCGCTGATGACACTGGAAAAAGATATGCATGCCTACTTAATATCATCATTCAATGCATTTTTTTGTGATTGTACACTGCACATATTCGATGAAAGCATGCTAACCGCTTTTCAGTATTTTCAGTACTTTGATTTTAATATATATGTAATCATGATACTTCTGTATTTTGAGATATCGAATACTTGCTGGTAAATAAGTTCATTTCCTAATCGCAGTCCTTCTCCTGCGTTATGATATGGAAGTGCGTATTCAGTCTGTGAACTATCGGGATAAATGTTGGTCCCACAAACAGTCTGAAACATTCCAAGTGCCCTCAAAAGTCTATTTTGTACCAGATCTTCATATTTTTCGCCGGTCCATACTTCCGCCACGTGACCAGCTATTGCGTAAAGTAGGTCATTATAGATCCATTTATCCCGAAAAGCAGCGCTTCTTGGTAAATACTTCAGTCTCCTAGGATCAGAAATATATTTAGTTTATTTACATACTGACTTAATGTTACTTATTTTTAACTGTTTTCAAAACGTTTGATGTGTTCGTGTACAATATAGGCCTAAGATTTATATTAATACACATGTATTTTAACCTACTTTAAAAAATCACTCCGGCCTATTTTCGGCACTCCAGTGTATACATCCGCCGGACTGAATCCAGTGCGTTGACCCAACAGATCCAATATGGTAATCTCGGACTCAAGAAATTTGTTTGGCAGATTGAAGTTCTCTTTGAATACAGAAGATAGTTTTGTAGTCCAATCTCGGCTGAAATCAAAATGGGTTACATTAATTAGAATAATTAATAATATACAGTTAAATGGGCATGGATACAGTTTCAACTGAATTTTTTTTTTTACCGATTTTAATTTTTACAATTCCTAACTAAGGCAATTCTAATGATCAGCAAAAATTTAAACATCATTTGTTGATTTACAAAGGAGATACAGGACTGAGAATTCTTCACAATGTAAACAAGACTCGTGCCTTGTTTTCGTTTACATTTAGAAAACATCATGTTTATAACAAAACGAGATTAAGAGAATCATTAGAAAGTGTCTAATTGTATTTAGAATTAACTTCTTTATTGAAAAAAAATCTGCTTTGACGAACACATATCAGCATGTTTAATCTATGTAAACAAAAACACGCTCGGTCCTTGTTTACATAACAAATGTTTGGAGCCCTAAATTAAATCTGCCTTGACAACTAGAATTCAAAAAAATTACTCATCATAAGAATTACCTTAGTTAAGTATTTGTAAACAGAAAAAAAAATGGTATGAAAATTTATGACTGAAACTGTGTCCAGGCCCCTTTAAAGTATATCATTGCGGGAGTTAGCAAGAATCCAATTCCCCAAGGTCAGGACTACTAGTATTTCCAGGGGCGAAGGGGAACTGGAATCTTGCTAACTCCCGTTATAATATATACTTTTTAACTGTTTTATCATACCGATACAAACGTAAAATTTTAAGGATATCGCGATTTCAAAGCGGGATTAGCTCACTGAACTAACACACGGGGATAAGTCCATTCACATATCATACCAATGTGAATGTAAAATCTAGAGGATTACGGATAACCGGGAATTAGCTTTCTTTGCAGGGATTAGCTCACTTGAATCGCACGGGGATTAGTCCCTTTATAACGATATCTAGGGAATATAGTCACATCTAAGAGGAACTTCAGTAAAGATATAATACTAACTGTGTCTCGACACAAGCACTCACCTCTCTGTAGCGAAATTATTTTGAAAATATCAAATGGTTTGCCTTCGAATCAGTGCGCTTAAAATCGAGGCTTTATCCTTCTTGAGAGGATTTCTAAAGATTTTTCTTTCACATACAAAGACCTGGTAAAAATTTGCAACTGTGCAAAACACTTCAATTCAAACATATGTATTTTATTTTATTATAAAAATTATTTCAAAAGTTAAATCAATTTGAAATTTTGACTCGTAAGTATGTTCTCAGTTTATGGCCCTGGGGACAGCATAATAATCTTTTTTTTCTTCTTCAATTTTTAACCCGACCCTCAGTCCTTTTAGAATTTTAAGAGTACTAGTAACCATGTACTTTCAATATGTTCTCAGTTATAAGTCACACATCTAGATATACATGAAAGTTTAGACAGAAAATTATTTGCGTCTTTATTTGTGAGACAAGATCGTCGACAGTCGTGGTTATTGCTCCGTGATCCAGGGCTGACGAATTCTTCAAATAAGAGGTTTTCCCCTTGATTTTAGGATATTGGACTTAGTTCTTTAAACATTTTTAAAAAATTCAACACGGGAGGGGGCTGGATCCGCCTTTGTATTTCCAGTATCCTCTACTAAGACACCCTTACCTTACTGACTGACCACGAGCTTCAGTTATCAGTACTCCTAATAATGCGGTAGTGAAGGCTTTTCCAAGGGAAGCTATGTATATTGGTGTCGTTTCCGTAAAATTTACAGGTGGATCAAGTCGGGCGAGTCCATATCCCTTGGCAAAATATTTTCTACCCCGTATCATCGATATTCCCACTCCTGTGAAAAATTAAAAAAAATCGTTTATTGCTTCTTAACTTCTGCGTGTGGTTCATTTTCATTATCCCTAGTACATTAAATTTATACACATGTATCAAGTATTTTTTTGTGAAAACTTTTCTCAGAAAAATTATACAAGATGGTTTTCCCCTTTTTATTCCCATTAAAATAAAATTTGACAAGTTTTATTGTAACCCCAACCTTGGTTATATGTGTGATGATTTCGCTGAACATGAAACCACATACCAGGGTAACACAGGGATGCTTCAATATAACAGAATGACTAACGTGGTTTTTACTCTTGAAGGGGATTTAATGAAATAATTTTTCATTAATCACGTACATGCATTACGCGTAATTTTGATTTGAAGCCCAACCCATACTCTAGGACATATACACTAGTATCTAGTCATCTGTATATTAAGTGAGTTATCATATTGTAAGGGGAGGTAAATGCGATATATTATGTAAATTTTGCGCTTAACTCTCCCTAGAAAACTCAACATTTACAACATGATAAATGTAAACTACTATTTATTGATATGTTAATTTCTAAATCGAC